TAAAACATATTTGACATTTAATAATAATTTTTTATTTAAAGGAAAAAATAATACCAATGAATTATCAAGGACAGTAATTTTTCAAAAAAAAAAACAATGAATTTTATGAAAATAAAAATATGTAATACAACCTTTATTTCTATATAAAATATATTTACAACTCATTTACACTCTTTACAAAAATTGGTTAATTTAATTAATAATATTAAATTTGTCAATAATTTAAACTTATTTTAACTTAACACATTTTTAAAGCTAATTGTCACCTTCTTATCTAAAATTGTTTCTCACTTAATTTATTAATATTTGAAATTTGTGAGTATTCATCTTCTCTAATCTTAACAAAAAGAAATTATCTTAATAATTTCTAATGTAACGACTTATTATAATCTTTATACTTAACAACTTACCAACTAGTAACAAAAATAACTAATTACTTAGAATTATATATTTACAAATACCTTGATGGAGATTTTATAGCATGTATATAAGCGTAAAACAATTATACAAATATAAAATAGTATAAGTATAATAATCTAGTAAGTGTCAAATATACAACTTAAATTGTCAGTTAAACAATATTTATAGACTAGCTATACATGGTAGCACAAAACAACATATATGCCACCAACCACCAAATAGCCTCCAACGTGTAACTCTACAGACCTATCCCTACTATGCTCACATACTAAATATAATCATTGCAGTCCAACCACTTGGATGCAAGGGTAAGTTAGAGTTCAAAGAGTCAACATAGGCAACATAAAATATGAATGTAAATTATATCATCACATCCCATGCTCAACTCAACAACCCAACTCAATCAACATTACTAACATAGCACATGCATCAGACAACAAGCAACACAACCACATACACAATAATTAACTATATGCATCGTCACACATCTCAATTATAGAGATCTCCTATAATATAAGTGAACAGTCTAAGTGACTTGACCTTATCGAACCAACAATCCAACATTTTTACACTAGGTAGATCAACAATTAAATGAGATCAATACCTACAACGTGGTTCTCAGATGTCGTTACTTAAACTATAAAGTCTAATATTCCTATAAGGATAGAACAATTTAGATATGAGTCTACCACGACATTAGCTAGCTAGCATAATTAAGCCTCATATGAAATTAACTCATCAACTACCCTCCAAATACTACGCCCCTCTAATACTCGATTAGGGATTAAGTCCCCAACTTTGTATTTTGCTCAAATTGTTCGCTTTATACATATATGTCTTGACTTTACCCTAATATGGATAAACATTTGGTTGCTTATAGTAAATATGTCTCGACCTAACCTACATACCACATCAATTAAGGTCTTAGAGGGGACAATCATCCACTTAAAGGTCAACTTCCCAATAAAGATTTTCAACAAAGTTGGATTCTCAAAGCACCACAAAACAATATCCTCACAATAAGACATGCTTTAAAATAACTTTTTCTCTAGTCTTAGGTCGATCAACACAATAAAAATTCAATGCCAAAACATCCTTAACACAATAGCATGCAACTAAACTCAACTTTCAATCATAATATCCATTGTATAGTATCCTATATCAATGTATTGAGATTCAACATCAAACATTAATATACAACATATAACACAACTTAATCATCGTACAACATGTAATAGATCCAACTATCTTATACATGTTTACCAACTTCATAATAAACAAGTTAAATTAAGACAACCCGCACTCGGCACCATTGAGGCAGGGATCCCTCTGACTTGCCCATGCCCAACATTATACAACATGCGCCCAATGTGGATCAGGTAAAGACCTCTGGGACCTCATGCTTAATGTGGCAAAGTTTCACGTTGGCCTCATTTTAGGTAGAGAGTCTCTGCTTGACTCATGCTCGGTGTTTTCTAGGCAAAAAGTTATGGCTTGGTCACGTTGGACGCCATTCAACTTGGGGGCACAGTGTCACCAAATTAGAGACATTTCTCTCTTCTCATGTTTAACATCATTCAAACCATGTCTGACGTAACTAAGTTTTGGAATTGATTTATGCATTACAAATTTTTAATTCAATGATTGGATTGTTAAAATTTGATATAAAACATGGGTTATTAAATGAAATAAGTTTAGGTAAACTTACTTTCGGAGTAAACAAAATCCCTCCTTTTAAAAAACAATAACCGCACACTATTCTTTTCACTAGTAAAAGTAAAAAATATTTACAATAGTCAATTTTTAGACTTGATCCTTTAACAAACAATAACATTTATAGGATTTGACTTCTCTAGAGTAAAGGATGCACCTTAAAAGATAAAGGACAATAATAATTGTTAATTAAAAAATCAACGATTGAAAATTGTAATAAAACTAAATACATGTATATTAAAATTTAAAATTAAGTATAATATTTATTGTTGATTTTTTAATCAATTATTATTGTACTTTATTTTTAAAATATTTTTATTTATTTATTTTTACTTTAAAGGACTCAAATTCTAATTTTTCATTGGTAAAAAGAATTTTTTTTTTACAGTATTTGACTTTTAAACTCGATTCTTTTAACATACAATAATATTTATAGAATAAGTATAATTACTTTAACTAAAAATATATATATATATATATATATATATATATATATAAATA